TGAGATTATGGACTTTCTACTAGCTAAATCTCGATTGCTCGACATTGAGAATGATATTATGGTTGAGTGACATGAACAGTGGACGCTGTGATTTGAACAGTATATTAGCAATATTGTATTGTTTTTTAAGCTATATACTTACTGAATATTTTTAGATTTTTATAATTTTGATATTATCTTATATCTATGTGAAACTGTCATGTATAAAACATTTAACTTAAATACTTTCGTGTTTATTATCAATATATTCACGTATATTGTTAACAGTTTGCAATTATTTATTTATTTTTTATATTTTATAATATAAAATTATATTCTTACATTTATAATCGTAATTTAAGATGTATAATGACAGAAAAATTAAATTTAAGAAAAAATTATTATAAGAATTAAAATAATTATTTGTATTATTTATTAAAAATTTAATTAGGTTATTAAAATTATTATTTTATCGTGAATATGTAAAGTTTATATTTAAAGAATATTTCAAATTCTGTTAACAATTATTTAAAATTTCTTACCAATTTAGAAAAGAAACGAATTACTGTGCGAAAATAACATGGTGAGATTATTGTTGCACAAAAGGTATCTTGTTACATAGCAAGGAAACTTATAATAGCATAGTTGGTCTGGAGAGAAAGGAATCGTTGGCGTAAGCAGGATCTACTACACCGAACGTCATTATTTTGCATCTCTACTGTTTTACATTAAAGGTAAAATTATAAAATAAATAAAAAAATACATTGCTTATTTAGATATCAGAATAACGATATTTTACGTTTATTAGATATTAAAGTAACGATCGCTCTAACATCCATGTACATCCGAATACATGTGGCTTTCTCCATATATATTAGAAAGCGTATATACATATATTGTATATTTACAGCTCATCTCAGATATATCTTTCCAAGAGAACTTAACACATATATCGATGTTAACAATTATTTAAAAAAAAATACAAAATTAATCAATTTTTAAATTATCTCCTATGGAATTATATTGTTAGAATTTTATTTTTACTCTAAAATACTTATTAATTCTTAGTAAAAATAAATAGCTTATAGAAATTATTGATCCACAAATGCTAAATAGATTGTTTTTTATTTACGTAGAAAGGAGATACTTCTAACAACATACGTTTTATAAAGTATTGATAAATTCTCTTTAATCCTCAATTTCGCAATTATTTTGTATAGAGATCATCAATTTTTTTCGGGTTCAGATTAATTTTATAGATATTTGCTGCGTATCCGAAACTAACATTTTTTTTTATAAATAAATTCTTTATTTATTATTATATTAATTAATTAACGTCCCAAAGCTTAGATTATATATTTTAAATCTACACTTAGAGAAAAAAAAGCACTTTTTGTAGTGATGGCAACTATATAAGTGACAATTACAAATTTTATATGTAGAATTAATGTATATAGTTGAAAAAATTTTCTATAATTATTGTAGTTAAAATTTAAGATTAGTTACAAGAACTAATAACTAATTTAACTTTAGTTGGAATAATTCTAAAATAATTTATTCAACCTTTATATGTATATGTATATGTGTACATTAATTCTACATTCTATAAAACTTGTATAGTCGTTACTATTATAAAAAAAGCTTCTCTTTTTCTGATGTATATTCAAGGGAGGATGTTATAATATAAATAAATTCGATCGGTCAACTAGCATAATCGCGCATTAAACTCACCAGCACATATCCAGAAGCACAGCGTCGCCGCCACGACAGGCCACCAAGCCGACATCGCGCTACATCGATGAGACACGATGACGATGATCTGCGAGAAATCCTGGCGTCACTCCATTCGACACGTTTTATCCGATTCGCACTCCGATCTCACTCGAGTCGTCTCGATGTTCACAGATCACTCGATATTTACAAGATACGCGCACCTCATCGATCTTAACACAATCATCTGTCTAATCTTTATTCATTAGAAGAAATTACTATCTATTCATCGACTATCAGATCCAAATATGGTACTTTGAAGAGGTCTAATTTGGTGTAAAAGTCAGTATCTCTAGCAAATGCATAGAAATAATTGTCCAGTTTCAAGATAATACTGAAAATTGTTGATAAAGGCAGTGATCTTTTTACCGCATGCGTTATTATTACGCCACGTTTATCACTATTATCATCTTTTTCGTTAATCACACAAATTTCTCTTTGCGCATTTTTTTATTTTTTTATTTTTGTGCTTTTGGACAAATTTACATCTTCTACGCACCTATTTGGTGCACATTCTCTCATTTTTATTCCGATCAGATCTTTCAAACATACGAGCTAACTCAAAAGTAAATATGAAAATGTCACTGGAATTTCCGACGTCGCGTTTACATCGTACATGATTCTTCCAAGGTCCTTCGGCGAACCAACGGTAGTCTCGCTACCTTCTCTCAATTCTCTATAATAGTTATTTATTATTTAATTTAGTTATTAAAGTTTTTTTCTAATATTTTTTACTATTATGTTAATCAGTCCAATTAATATATATTATTTTAATCAATTATTATTATTTCGATATTAATGTCATATTCATTGAAGGTCAATTAATTTTTTGAGATGTTGCTTACAAATCGGTTGGTAGTCTATCTTCTTTACAAGTCTTCTCAAGACGGGCTTGGGCGCACCGTGGTGTGTAAAGACATCACGGTCCCAGGGATTGCTAAGGATCCCTCAACCGTCAAAGCGAATATAATTCTTCAAAGAATCCACTGGAGATCTGGACACTTGTGTCTCCTTCGTAGATAACAAATTTCACATCACTATGATTTGCACATCATCGAGTGAAATAACGAAGGCACATCAGGGAACCGACTGAAGAACAAGTTTGACGGCTGGCGAACGGAGAGCCGACGCGACTGTGGGGCCGCAACGTTGCGACCTGTTCCTCGACCGTACTCGGTAAATCGGTACAGTGACGTATATCAGTATGGGCCCCAGTATAGGATTACGGGTTCTTGAATTCTATAGTATAAATATGTTTCACTAAGGTAATAATTTGTTAAGAAAAATGTTGACAGAGTTTGTCATATTAGAAATTGAATCGTATACCAATTTTATTTTCTTCGTTATTATTACTATTATTATATCGAAAATTGTACAAAAGTGATATTTTGGAAAACAGATCTTAAAAAGGACTATCGTAGAAAGTCATTTGAAAACAATAATAAAATTTCTCAAGAATATTTTACAAAAAACGAATCTTTTTTTATAATGCGTAATGTAACTAATATAATTATATGTATATTTTACATAAAAATTCTATTTTGATATTATTTATTTTTAATTCGTTAATTTTTATATTTTACTAATTAGTTAATATTACCGAATAATTTCAATGTCTCGAATACTTGAAACTTCAAAAATAAAGTTGATCCGGTAGCGCCGCCATCACCGTCATCGTACAAGCCGCAATATTGCCGACTGGAGAAAATAAACCGCCAGTGGCGTAGAATTTCATATTTAAAATTAATTCAATGGCGCATTCATCGTGAAATCAACGAAGCATAATTTTTAGAAATCGAAAAAGATTCTAAATATAATTTCTTCATTTCTCTCTCTCTCTCTCTCTCAAATTTAATTTTACTGTTTATGAAAAATTTATATTGTTAGGTTCAAGAGATTATTTTCTTATTTAAGTTAGTTTGGACTTCAATTTGTAGCATTTTAATATATAGAAGAAAGGTAAAAAATAGTTTTTTTCAATTTTATAAGTTAATTATTGAATTAATTAGTTTTGGATATATTTAACTTGATTAAATTTAGTTTTATTTCTCTTAAAATAAAAAATTCACGAGAAAAATTTAAAATACAAAACACTTATATGTATATGCTAGAAAACAAAGCTTCGTGCAAATCTCTTAAAAGAGAACAATGAAGTTATCCGTAGATCGCAACCAAGGATCACTTTCCATCAATCTTTCGAGAAATAAATATAACCCATTTTGGTATAAAGAAGCAAATATTTAATCTTCTTAATCTGGTTTTCAAAATTAATTGTTAATATTGCGATTTTAGTACGATGTAATGGATGAATTCATAAATACACAACAGGGACATAAATATGGTACCTGTTTATCCTTCTCGGTGATGGGCCGTAAAAACTTTCGAATCTCGGTAATTATACAAATCAATCGACGAATCCTTTAACCAGTCACTTTTAATCAATGAATCTATTAATAAGTAACTGTCTTCTCTATACAACGCATATGCATCAATTCCTTCTGCTTTTGCGCTAAATTCGTAGGTAATTATAACTATATATATAATACAAAAGAATCTATAAATATAAATATATAGTATGATAATACTGTGTGTGTTTGTATATCCGTGCGTATCTGTGCGTATCGTGTGTCCGTATCGTATATGTGCGTTTTCTATCGCATACAATTTGCGATTCCGTTGACTAATTAACAGAACTTGTCTGTCGAGGTGTGCACAATTAGCGCCTCCCCGGAAGCGGGCGATGCGCCCATCAGTATTATGTCGTCGAAGAGAAAATACTCAACGATTTCCGACACGAAGGATTCAAAGACTTTCCTTTCGCGACGAGATAAGAATCGGATTACTCGACATGCTTCAATAGTACCATCGGATTTGATTAATGTCGCAAGGGATTATGAGGGCGATGAATTCACAGTACTCCAGGATAGTCCTTTGCGAAAGCCGCGCAATATTGAAAATGAAGTAGATTATTGCAGATTTTCTTATTATAGGTATTGATTTGATCTTTTTATTAATGTAAAAATATAACACAAAACATGAAAATAGTGATAGAACGTATTTTTATTGATTTTAATTTAAAAAATGTAATTAAAATTTTTTTTTTTTTTGTTACTTTTGGTTTTTGCAAATATTAGTTAAAATTGATTTATTCATCATATTATTATTTTTTATTTTATTTTATTGTAAAATTTATAATTAAAGAGGAAAGAGAGAATTATGATAGAAGAATTGAAGGAAGATTAATTTATTATAGAACAGATGGCTTTCAAGATGCTGTTCTGGTGAAAGATGTAGGCGTATCCTGCAACCTTTTAAACAAAAATACGGTCAAATCTGATATATCAATTTCAGGAGTTGAAAACTATCTCATTAAACAGCTTAAACTCGAGTACAATGAATTATCGAATATTACAAGAAAACTAAATATGTATATCAAGGATATTTTGAATAACTTATTATTGAGATGCAGAAGAAAAGAGCAATTTCATGAAAAATTGGTATAAAATTTATCATTTTGACTTAATTTGAGTCAATTTTTAAAACAAATTTTAATTTAAATATATATATATATACATTAAATAGAACGTATTTAATTAGGACGTGTATTCTGTTAAAGATATATTAAATATACAGGTTTCATTTTAAGTGATATGGTCGATTATCTCGCGAATCGATGATTTTATTGAAAAATTTTTCGAACGAAAGTTGCATGACTTGAAGGGGGACACATGATGGAAATGTGGACTTGACCTTGAGTGACCTTGTCAAAATCAGGTCAAGGTCATTGTTGTTTTAAATGGAAATCTCTATTTTTTATTACATATTCTTGTAGCTTATCTCGAGAGTTTTCCAAAATACTATAATTAAGTTTATTTTCGAGAATATTATAATTAAGTACTTTTCGAGGCACTAAAAATTCATTTTTATGTAAAAATGAAAATAAAAGATACAACCTCCAATGGGGAGGGGGGGGTCTTGATTTTGACAAATGTTATTCAGGATCCTGAATAACATTCAAGAGGTTTTAACTGTCGGTCGGACACTTTGTGTAATAATGCTGATGCCGGCGATATTGTAACTTTCAAGCCTCATAACTCGAAAAGTACTTAATGAAAATGAACTTAATTATAGTGTTTTGGAAAGCTCTCGAGATAAGCTACAAGAATATGTAATAAAAAATAGGGATTTCCATTTAAAAAAACATTAATGACTTTGACTTGATTTTGACAAGGTCAAGTCCACATTTCCGTCATGTGTCCCCATTTAAGCCATGCAATTTTCGTTCGAAAGATTTTTCATTAAAATCATCGATTCCCGAGATAATCGACCATATCACTTAAAATGAAACACCCTGTATATACTTGTATATATCTTTACTTATCTTAAGAATTTAACGACCTATTTAATTTAATAATTAAAATTAAAACCGGTTGTTGCAACTTTCTCTAAAGAACTTTTATTACAGCATGTAGCTTCGAAGCATGTAATGACAACACAATGTACAGATGAAATAGGAAATCCCTGCTTAAAAATAAGATCTCGCTATGATACAAAGAGAAAATGTGGATCATCCAATATTGATTTAAATAAAAGTTTTGTTAGAAAGGAAATTACTCGAAAGAAAATGCATGGTAATATCTATTATATATTATATTATAGCTACAATAAAATCGTTTTGCATATCTTTTATTTATTTTATAAATAAGAATAAGAATTATTAATTATTGAATAATTAATATGAATAATAAATAATTAATTATTATTTATTTTAATATGTAAGAATCTTTATTGTTATAAAACGTAAATTCTACATTTCTTCATAGGAAATAATAATACAGAAAAGCGATGTGTGGAGTTTAATAAAGCTTTCGCGAAAGGATTTCTCGAACTCTCGTCGAAATGCAGTGGCGTGTTGCTAAGTAATTATCTGATAATGAAAAGAGAGAAAGTATCTAGTAATGCGTCGAAGGCTCGTTTACGTAAAACCGAAAATTTCTCGCTCTCTGGTAAATTGTGCGAGGATCGTGCAACAGATAGATCTCGTAAATGCTTTTACGCAAGCAAATGCAATTCTCTTCACCAATTGGCAGGAAATATCCAAACAAAAAAATTGCAGATCCAAAAGTGCGTTTACCGTTAACACTTCCGAGTCGCGACGAACAGTCAATCGTATTTGACACGCAATCGGAGAAAGCTGGATTCGAAGACGGATCTGATAAATTATGATTATATTTTATATTAAATTATTATTTTTTATCATATTTTTGTTATTTTACTTTTAATATGTTTTATTATTAAAATAAATATAATATTTATTGAATATAGTAATTCTTCATTTTAAATTATAAAAATATATGCTTTTTGAAATTTTTAATTTACTTTATAATTTTGGGTAGGGTGTTATAAGTTGAAGTTTAAGCTATCCCTCTATTTGAAAATCACTATTCTCGAAATCTCGACCTATCACAAAAAGACTAATCGATTAATTTAATATTCAACATATAAAACATACAATATTCAAGATCGTCTTAAGTTCTGTCTTGAGGTGTCACGAACCAATCAGAGGGCCGCGTTGGCGTCTTAAGACATTACTTAAGACGATCTTGAAATAAGAACCGACTATGAATACCGGGCCTCATGTTTAACGTTTCACAGTTGGTAGTCCTTCTGCATTATGAACAGTCCATAAACGGAGAGGGCAGAGATTTGGAAAGAGAGATTGTTCAACTGCACACACTATAGGGCTGTTCTTTTTGGCTGAACTTTTGCACCAGTTCATCTTTCTTCTTTTTTTTCCTCCTGAAGAGAAGAGGAAAAAAGATAAATTGATGCAAAAGTTCAGCCAAAAAGAACAGGCCTCATGTTATCTCTTCCACCTAAAGTCCTATAGCGTTTTCGTGATCGATGACGGTCACATGCTTTACTTTGATTTCTGATTGGATGAGATTATGATACTTTCGGGTCAAACATGGATTAACCGAATCGGGTCGGGTTCAAACCCACTTCATTCGAAAACGCTACTAGATAAATCAAGGAAGGCGACAAATGGGATCGATAATCAAAAAATCGATATATAAATCGCCATCATTTTATTTTACCATGGACCAATCAGAACGCATAAATGTAGTATCACCTGCATCACACTTGTATTACATATATATCAAAATGTTGAAGTAAGGTTAAGCTCTTTTTGAAAACAAAAGTTGCAATAACACTGCTGCAACATTACAGCAACATCCCTATAAACGCATAATATTATTTAATATGAAGTAATATTTTAGGCATATTCTTAGAATATTAAATGTAACATTTAAATAATATTTTAATTAACTAAATATTAACTAAAATTATAATATTACATGATATTCTCGAAATATTAATGAAAGATTATATGTCCACTCGTGATAATATTATATGATTATTAAAAGTAACATTTATTTAATGTTACTGTAATATCGTATAAACATTAAAAAGTATTACAACAGAATTTACTTTAATTTGTAAAACTGTTACATCCGTTCAGTATAAGTATGCGTTTAAAAATTGAAAATGATTTTGGCGCGCAGTTGTAGAATTGGATATGTACTTAAAATCACGTCGAAACGTTTTTTTTTTTAGCACAAGATGCAGTATAGACTGATAAGAACTTTTCTGGATTGCGAATTCAAATTGTACAAAATTAAAAATAATTAATATTTATAAGTACCTTAATAATATTTTAGGAATATTAAGATATAATATCTAAGATATTATATAAGTGGACATATAACCTCTATAAAATACTCTCGTAATATTAAAAAAATATTTATGGTATTCTCGAAATATTATATTATTTTAATTTTTTTTAATAATATCTATATAACATTCTAGGAATATTTTGCGCTTATAGAGATTGAATGTTATAGTAATATTACAATGATATTGCTGCAAATTTTGTGTTGTATTAGGTAGGAACGTAATTGTGCATTGGACTCAACAGATGACTCTCGTCACGATATACGCGAACCTTCCGCTCTATCTAATTCTCTTTTGTTCAAGACTAGTTCAGAATTCTTCGAAAAAAAAAAAAAAAAACACCTTATTTTATGACTATAAATTTTGAATAATATCAATAGAAACGAATACTTTTGAAATTTTACATCTGTAGAAATGTATAGATTTATGTCTAAATTATATAATAAAATATATTTTAAAAACAATGAATTATAAAAATGCAGTATTAATAAGTTGGACAAAACGAGATTACAAAGGTTATGTTATAACCTACAATATGCAATATATAACCAACCTATTTCAAATCTTGTAACATCAAATTCGTTTATTTTTTGTCTTTATAATTGGGAATCACGATATTGATATGATTTCGGACAATGGGCAGGGCAGAGTTTGGAAAAACCTTAAAATAAATGATAAAGATTATGTGATCTGTTTTATAAAGGAAAATGAATCATGGAAAGTTTTTTTAACAGATCTAATAGAAATTTGGATGGAGACTCTGACAGACGAAACTATATTTCACAAATGTCAGGTACTACGAATCGTCTCAATTCTATCTCATATGAGTGTATTACGCATATAAATTGAAATTTTTTGTTCATCAACAAATGTGAATCATGAAAGAAAAATATAGATTGAAATTTATTTTACAAATAATAATAATATTTTTCAGTTTTCTGAATGAGAAAATCATATTATATTATAAATACTCATATATAATGAAACATGTTAATTTGTAGATCATGAATCCTCTTTTAAATCTTGAGGTTTTTGACTGGAAGCAACTGGTACTGGATATATTGAATGATATCCCTCAATACGTGCATGCAAACGTTTTAGAAGTTACAACATATCGAATAGAATTGCGAAAGGATAAAGATTTTATAAAATTGAAATTTTCGTTGGATCTTCTCAAAGGAACGTTACAGCAATTTTGGGAAAATGTGACTATACCTCTCTGCTCGTCATCAGTGGAACTGATTCGCCGGCACAAGATTCTGCTAGATCTGGTTAAACAGAAGGATGAAGAGATAGCGGAATATAAAGCTGAAGGCGCAGAGTTAATTAGGAGTACGCGTTTTTTGCAGTGTGCGATATGGTACCATTTTAAAGTTGAAAGTTAAACATTATTTATATTCCCTGTATGTAGAGTATATCGCTACGAAACCATTCACTGAAGAATTGTTTCACACTGATGATGCTGGATCAACTGATTTTATAAATACTTTCCAATCCGTGATTCGTTTTTATAATGAAATAACCTTGTTAAAGTCACATGCAAAACTAGAAGTATCTTCAAACAACGCAAGGTACAATAAGACATGTCATAAAGAATATACCAAATATTTATTGCATTTGCTATTCATTTTAGTGGCACTAATGACCCAAAGATGGATGGAAATGTTCCTCTTGATTCGTCAAAGAACGATTCTGTACAGAAGCTAAGGCAAGATGAATTGAATAATAAACAAGGACCTTCAAAAGTTGAAGAGTACAAAGCAAATCTTTCTAGCAAAGCTCCAATTTTGAAAATAAGTAGTACATCTCACACGATAAGTAAGAAAAGGAATAAAAAAACCTTGAATGATTTCATAATGTAATTATGAAATTACTAAATCACTAATAATAAATAACCTAATATTTTACTGCAACCCAGATAGCAAAATGTTTGTAGTCTTCTAAGAGACTGTCAGTAGATTCGAGCAGAAAATGATGACAGTCTGCTATCAGCTGCGTCCGCATTAGGCTTGTGTTTTGTTAACATCGCCTATCGACATGAAGGCAAATTGTTGGCAAAAACTGAGCAGCTGACATTATCTGATTCTGTTATACTTTTTTCTAATAGTCTGTCAACAGTATTATGTATCTAATTCTGTAACAATTCTGTTACTATTTTGTTGGCATAGTGTGTAGCAGACATTTAAAAAATCTGCTTTCTACAGACTTGACTATCTGGGAATATAAAAGTAAGTAACTTTGTGTTTTATATATATGATAATTTATGTTATTTGTGCTATTGTGTGATATGTGCTATATATGCTAGAAATACATTGAAAAATATTAAAGAATTATATAATATATATATATATTAATATATAAATAAATTTAGAGCTTATATCTTAAAGGCTACGTTCACACATCGTATGCTTAGTCTGCGACCTATATCCCAAATTTGACCTAAATTATTTAGGCCCCACGTTGTAAACACTTGGTAGATGACCCGATCTAGCTTTAGGTTAGGCCTCGTTTATTAGCGGCCTGACCTAAAATAGGTCGTATGCTTTCTCAGTGTCGGAATGGTTGATGTTTAATTCTAATAACATAAAAATTTATTTTAATATATTTTGTAATGATATAAATATATGTATATTTTTAATTGTTAGAGCTGTATTATGAATTTTAAATCTAAATAAATAAAAAAAAATAAAAAAGAAGGGCTCGTCCGGGATTTGAACCCGGGACCTCTCGCACCCTAAGCGAGAATCATACCCCTAGACCAACGAGCCGTATGCTCATGACGACATAAATACAGGATATCAAACTGTAATGTTACGATAATTATGTATATCGACACACTAAACACACGCATATACGCACAAGGCGTTATCTATGTTATTAACTGCGCGATAATTCTCTCTCGGTGCGTGGCATATGTTCAACATGGCGGGCTACAGTCAGCAAGACTTCAATAGGAGTGCGTTGACGCTCGATAGCGGACGGGTAAATGTAATCGATTTACAATTTTAATTGTCCACCATAACATTTAATCGATGCGCACATCACGATACACTTTGATTAATAACGCCACCGATCTACGTTTTTTGGCTGCACTCTTTTACACTTTTCGTTATTACAAGTGGAGATTGATATATAATACGTAGCCAAAAAATGTGGAAAAAAGAAAAAAAACTTGAAAAAAATGTAGAAAGTACAATTAGAAAGAATAAATCCTATATTTATTGAAATAATTTATAGCAATTATATTTCTTTTTTTATGCAGCTATAATGTATGTGAATCACTCGCGTGTTACAAAGAGCGTATCAAAGATCGTGTATTTTTTTTTTCGTATTTATAAATATAAATGTCTTGATTTCTAAAGTTGATTTTCTCTAAACAAATATTTAATTGAAGAGATTACTGATAACAGCATTCTAATTTTTAATACTAAATGTCTTTGTATAAGTTAAGCATTATAAATCTCTTAAATTCAAATTCATTTATTAAATTAAAAATAATAAAAATTTATAATTTTTTGCAATTAAATTTTTAAGCGACTGAAATTGATGAATCTTGTAGAAAATAATTTTTAAAAAAGTTATTTATAAAGTTGTTATTTATTTTGTAAATAAATTTACTTGATAATTTATCTTATAAAATGTGGATTTTTTAAAGTAATTGTAATTTTTTCTATATTCTTCATTTTCTCTACACATACACACACACGTTCTTATTATTATTTTTGTATTTTTCTTACTTTCGTCTTATTTATAATCGACAATTTAGGCATGGTATACGGGGCAAAGAGCAGAAAAAATTCCTAATGGTTTGATGAGAGTTGTTGGTCACGATTGTCTCGGCTTGGATCTCTCCTATAACGAATTGTCAACTATTTCTGGCATAAAGGATTTTGAGCAGCTTCAGGAATTGATCTTGGACAATAACAAACTAGACAATCTCAAAACGTTACCTCATATTCCGACTTTGACCACTCTGAGTCTTAATAATAATAAGGTGCTTTATATATATATATATATATACCTGAAGAAATATTTAAAAAAGTAATAAAATTCTTATGAAGATTATGTTTCAAAAAAGATTTATGAAACTTGACACAAAAAATTACTAACAATATTTAGTTTTTACATTATTTTTAATTCTTTTATTAATTTCTTTAACACACTATTTATTATTAGGGACTTTCACAGAATTTTTTTATATAGAAGCCAAATAATAAACTTCGTTTCTAGATATTCAATATCGACAAAACCCTTGATAGAATACGAGAATGTTGTCCCAACGTGGAGTACGTAAGTCTTCTGGGTAATCCTGGTTGTCCTGATCAATTGACCAATCCGACGTTTACCGATGAAGATGATTACGAGCGTTACAGGCTATACGCCATCCACATTTTACCTCCGAGTCTTCGTTTTCTGGACTCTCGAAGAGTCACTGAGCAGGAGAGATCAAATGCTAACACTCGCGGCAGATATTCCAAGACGATCAAGCTCGTCCCGGAGTTGATTCGCAAGTTCGTACCCAGTTCGACTGGACAAGCCAATAATGAATTCGATGACATATATTTCAACATCCATTACACGCCTTTGTCGAGTTCGCTGCGCAATCCTCAGGATCATAAAGGTACGTATAGCGTAAATCAAATTATGAAATAAATTGTATAATTCGAAGTTATTTTAAAACATTTTTGACATTTTGTATTGTACCTTTAAAAACTTGTACCTTTTAAAATTGTTCATTATACGAGGTATCTCAGAATGACCGCTAAATATTTCGTATGCTGCTAGAGCGGACTAAACTGAGTCGAAAAGTCCTTCATTTTGCAATTTTTGCAAATAGTTAACAAGATATTAATTATTAAAAATCGCCGAATATTGGTTTTCAATAATTTTTTACTCAAGTACTATAATTAGTATAATTAGTATAATAAGTATAATTTCTGATGAAATGTTATAAAATCTAAAAAATTAAAAACTATTTTTTTTAAATTATGGGATGAGAAATTTTAGAATATTTCAGAATTCACTTGTATGAAAAATTCTGAGAGAAGATGTAAACTTTTCGAATATTTCTGAGTATTTCTGAAAAATGTTCCAATTTGTGATCAAATAAAAATTATGAGAAAAATTTTCACCAGGGCGGCGACTTTTAATAATTAATATCTTGTTAACTATTGCGAAAATTGCAAGATGGTAAAAGACTTTTTGATTCAATTTAGTCCGCTCTACCAGCACACGAAATATTTGGTGGTCATTCTGGTACATCCTGAATAAACAAATATAGTAAATATAACACCAGTAATAAATTTTTTTCCAGGTATATATGGTAAATGTAAGTATCGATATTCTGGCAAGAATTCAGAAGGCAACAGGTTCATCTCGAACAACGATCTTTAATCGAGAATTTTATATATATATTTCTAAGTATGACCTTAAAATATTTTTCTAGTCAGATATGATTGATATTAATGAAATTATCAACACAAGATTCTTTTCATATATCTCGATATTAATAAAATCCATTACCCGCATCTATTGCATGATTAATATTGTATTATTAATACTAATGATAGAGACATACATAGAGATTTACATATACCATAGAAACATACATATCAAGATTTATATTATAAAAAAAGTTACATTTTGATATCAGCAACCATTATATTTGAATATAAATTATAATTATTTACTTTAAAATGAATACATCTAGATAAATAATGCATATCTCATAAAAAATATATTTAAAAGCTTACGATATACAGTTTAAAAAAAACTGCGAAATATTAAAAAAAAATACTCTTAAGAATAAAATAAAAAGTGTAAAATTATATAAAATAAAATTGTTTGATTAATTATATGTATATTTTATTTTTTTAGATGAATTTTATCATTATTCAATATACGTATATCGATTTAAGTTTCTTTCTCTTGTAGGATTGATATGATTTCTTTCGATAAGTGTCTGATTTACATTTATAACTTGTCACAGGCATTTATATTTTTACAATGAATAAATTATGCAAAATATACGAGTAAACGTATAAAACTTTTATTATCATGTACACCGACGAGCGACATATAAATAAATGTCTGATTCTCTAAGTTTTTAACATTACATTTCATAACATTAAATGCTAACTGAACTAACATACGTAAAGTAACTTGGAGGCTCTATCGGGATAGAAAACGCAATGGGTTATCGTAATAAAATCCTCGATTCTCTATTGGTCCGTAAATGCGCACGACATACAATTATCGTAACGACACTAAATTTAGTATTTCAGGAATATCGAAATCTTATATAACTATGCATATTTCAAAATTTATGTTAATTTAAGACACATATATTGATCCTACGAAGGATAATTGAATTAAAAAACAATTCACGCAGAAATTTGATTTTATCAAATTTACGACTTCGATAAACATACTCTTCCTA